TGACAATACTACTAGCGTATTTGAAAAGTTTTTGGGGCCAGGTAAGGTGGCTCACACCTGTAATCCCAGCACTTTGGGAGGCCGAGGCGGGTAGATCACTTGAGGTCAGGAGTTTGAGACTAGCCTGGCCAACATGGTGAAACCCTATCTCTACTAAAAACACAAATTAGCTGGGTGTGGTGGCAGGTGGCTATAATCCCAGATACTCAGGAGGCTGAGGCATGAGAATCTCTTGAACCTGGGAGGCAGAGGTTGTAGTGAGCTGAGATTGCGTTACTGCACTATGCCTGGATGACAGAGCGAGACTCTGTCTCAAAAAAAAAAAAAAAAAAAAGGAAAAGTTTTCACTTTACATTTGTTATCCAGGCAACATTATCAATGACATCCCCTTCCAGTCTTAAAGTATCCCAGTTAGGATGATAAATTATATGGTATTTCTATCTAACCGTGACATTGTCGGGGGATAAAGCTGAACCTTATGGAATTGCAAATTCTTTTGCAACTACTGTTACCTATGAAAATGGACCTAAGATGTGTGAAGAGCACACTGACCCCTGAAATATGGACCAAATGTTGTAAAAAAAATTCAATCAATTTTCACAAAACTAAACTACCACTATGAAGCTGTAGGATACTCTTATAATATCAATTTATGGGAATAACAGGCCAAAATCATTTGAAATCAGTCCCCCACTAACAACAACTAAAAATGCTGAGTGAAACGTGTTTGTAAAATATCACAAAGACATCAAAGAGCTGACAAAATAATAAAGAATTACCGTGCTAAACAAAATGAAGAGAGAACTCAGAGAAGTGACACAGCTTGCAAACTGCTTTTGCCCTGAGTGTATCTGCCTATCCTAACAAATGTCAACTTTCTCTCAACAGTTTCACAGTGGCAGGGGCCAAATATCAAAGCCCAGAACCCACTTATCATAGAGATTCTAGACATATCCCACAATGAAATGGGACTCAAAGGGCTATACTGAGGGGAACCAACCCATTCCATGGACATACAGTTAGCACTGGCTGAAGGGACCCCCCCACACCCCCCAAAGCTTGATTCATGGTGATCCTAAACCCACAGTGCCCCCAGACCCTAGCATACACACACACACAAATGGTAAATCTTCTCTGGAAGGCACTTTCCTCTCAGACTTCAAATTAGTGTAAACCACAGAGTGAGACTTTTTCAGAGCTATTATAACTGTAGGCCAGTTTGAACATTACCAAAGAGCCAGCAGCTCAGGCCTTCACTATAACTTTTATATACTAAACATACACAGGTAATTATTTTGGAATGCCTCCTTATATTTGCCGCATTAATGAACTGAGTCAAGAACCTGACCTCTTCTCTCCTCTCTGCCTTTTGAATGTATGTGTTGCCGAGAATGCTCCACATCTATTATCGTGGGAAATAACCTGTATTCAAATAACAGACTGAGCAAGTGGTGCTCAGTAGATGTGGTAGCAGGACCAGGGTTAGAACTTTGATACCTAGAATCCAAGCCTTACACACGAATTACTCTAACGGAGCACTTTGAAATATAAATGTTACAAAGTAAATGCAACCCTAGAGTACTGACAGCAAAGAAGAGGAGAGAAAATGATTCTTGCTGTTTATTAGAATATTACATAAACTTTGTTTTAGAGAAACCAGTGCTGGTGTTAAGAAAAGCACAATCTTGGAGAAGCAGTGTGTCTGAATGAAAAAAAAAAAATACTGGTTAATGAAGGGGCCCAAGTGCAAGTTCAACCTGTTCCACTAATGAGCTGTGTGATACTGAGAGGGAAACCGGAGCACTCACAGGTCTTCTTTTGCCTGTCAATAAAAATGCCGCATAGCCAAAGCAAGACTAAATACAAAGAACAGATCTGGAAGCATCACATTACCTGACTTCAAACTATACAATAAGGCCATAGTCAGCAAAACAGTATGGCACTGGTATAAAAACAGACACATAGACCAATGAAACAAAGTGAAATACTTACAGCCAACTGATCTTTGACAAAGCAAACAAAAACATAAAGTGAGGAAAGGACACTCTATTCAACAAATGGTGCTGGGATAATTGGCAAGACACTGTAGGAGAATGAAACTGGATCCTCATCTCTCACATTATACAAAAACCCACTCAAGATGGGTCCAGGACTTAAACCTAAGACCTGAAACTATAAAAATTCTAGAAGATAACACTGGGAAAACCCTTCTAGACATTGGCTTAAGCAAAGACTTCATGACCAAGAACCCAAAGCAAATGCAATGAAAACAAAGATAAATAGGTGGGACTTAACTAAACTAATGAGCTTCTGCATGGCAAAAGGAATAGTCAGCAGAGTAAACAGACAACCCACAGAGTGGGAGAAAGTCTTCACAATCTATACATCTGACAGAGGACCAATATCCAGAATCTACAAGGAATACAAACAAGTTAGCAAGAAGAAAACAAACAATTCCATCAAAAAGTGGGCTAAGGACATAAATAGACAATTCTCAAAAGAAGATATGCAAATGGCCAACAAACATGAAAAAATGCTCAGCATCACCAATGATCAGGGAAATGCAAATCAAAACCACAGTAGGATACCACCTTACCCCTGCAAGAATGGCCATATTTTAAAAAATTAAAAAAATAATAGATGTTGGCATGGGTGCAGTGAAAAGGGAACATTTCTACACTGCTTGTGGGAATGTAAACCAGTACAACCACTATGGAAAACAGTGTGCAGATTCCTTAAAGAACTAAACGTAGAACTACTATTTGATCCAGCAGTCCTATTACTGGTCTACTCAGAGGAAAAGAAGCCATTATATGAAAAAGATACTTTTGTACACGCATGTTTATAGCAGCACAACTTGCAATTGCAAAAATATGGAACCAGCCTAAATGCCCATCAATCAATGAGTAGATAAAGAATTGTGGCATATTCCATATGATGAAATACTACTCAGCTATAAAAAGGAACGAATTAATGGCATTCGCAGCAACCTGGATGGAGCTGGAGGCTATTTTTCTAAGTGAACTCAGGAATGTAAAACCAAACATTGTATGTTCTCACATTCATAAGTGAGAGCTAAGCTGTGAGGATGCAAAGGCATCAAAAGTGATACAATGGACTTTGGGGACTTGGGGGAACGGTGGGAGGGGGTAAGGAATAAAAGACTACAACTCGGGTTCAGCATATACTGCTCGGGTGATGGGTGCACCAAAATCTCATAAATCACCACTAAAGAACTTACTCATGTAACCAAATACCACCTGTTCCCCAAAAACCTATAGAAATAAAAAGTATTTTTTAAAAATGACACTGGAGGTCTAGATAAATTCTGTGGCCACTTCTATATCCAAAATCAATGATGTTTATGCTTCTGTGGATTTCTCAGTGGAGGCATATCCTGAGAGAAGTCAAGTTTACTCTAGAGGACACAAGCGATTCACACATCTAAATCCTGTTTGCAGACAATACACCAAGCCAGAACAGGACTTTACCTGCAGGAGGGCACAACCTCTTACTGCTTTAGAATTGGAAAGTCGTCATATTTTAAAAAAAAAAAAAAAAGTGTACAGGGTTTCAAAGGGACTAAAGGAATCACTTAACATCGTAATGGGATAAAGTCTATGCATGATTCTGTATGACCCTTCAACTACCGCCTTTCATGCCATGTTATTGCTAGCGTTGCATGTTCAAGCAAGCAAATTTTCAGTGAACTCTCACTGGCTTTACCACAGACACAGATGTCAGGCGGACTCTTTTGTTCATAAGGTTCTCATTATCAACTCAACCCGAGTTGAATATTTGACTGAAGGAAAGAACCATATCATTATTTTCATATTTCATCCTATGACTTAACTGGGCTACATCTGCCAGCTTTAGAAACACCAAGTACTGCCTGGCGCCAGCCTTGGCCTTCTCTTCGATGACTAGTACCCCAAATGTTTCAGCTTGAGGAAGTCTCCTCCCCATCAAAACAATGTAATAAAAACTGAAATTGTGATTAAGAGTTACTCATCAATTGACAGGCATACCAAGCTTGTGCTATTTATGAATTATCCCACACAAGATTTTCAGTCCAACAAATAGAATCCACATTCGTAAAGGGGTAAGCTAGAAAGCCAGTTAAATGCTTTCGTGATTATAAGGTCTGTGTTATTCTTGAAACCATATTTCTTTAATAGGTAAACTGGCATTCCACTGGATAATTCAATCTGCTTTAAATCTATTCTTAGGTTCTAGTCAGCTTAAGGGAAGCTCTGAATTTACACTTAATTCCTCTATTCACCTTTGGGCAGTATCTCTCAGCAAAAATGTCATAAGAGGATACAGCATAAGAATGGTCATCAATTGTACAGTAGAATTCAAGTATTAAAATATTGACACTAAAGCCATTTATAAAATATTAAGAACCACTCTAATTCCAAACAGAAAATATTTCTGTTCATATGTTGCAAACCTCACTCCCACGTGAAGGTACTAGGAGACAGGATCCTAGGGGGTGGCCATTAGGTCACAAGGGTAGAATTCTCATGCATGGGATCAGTCCCTTTATAAAACAGACCAAGAGAACTCTCTTTCCTTCCTTCTGCCAGTTGAGGATACACGGAGAAGATGGCAGCCTGCGACCTGGAAGACGGCCCTCCCCAGAACGGAATATGCTGGCACCCTGATCTCGAACTTCCAGCCTCCTAGAACTGTGAGAAATAAACTTCTCTTATTTATCACCCACCAGTCTGGGGTACTTGGTTATAGTAGCCTGGACTAAGATAATAATGTCACATGAGAATGAGACTGTTAGTAAGGTATACAAATAACACCTCAGGCAAATTAATAGTAATCCTTCCAGAAACTATCATGGGAGATAGCTTGATCACACTTATGGGAAATATACTAACCTCAGTCTACACAGAAACTCTAAGTTTGAAATAACTTTACCACCAAGCATCATATCCTTCAGCCCAAATTTTAATATTCAAAAGCTAACTTTTTATTCTGACACTTACCATGTTGTATGTCTTTCATATCTAAATGAAGACTAGACATTAGTATTCCAACTGCTTGTGATCTTTTGTTGCTTAATAACTTGACAACCTGCTCGAGAAAGAAAGTAAAAGGGGAAAACGTTAATTTGAACTCCAATATGCTTACTAGCATTTTAAAAAATCCTAAATGAAGAACAAATTAAGGGAAAATACCTCACATCATTACCTAAAGTATTCAAAACAGTTGGTTTTTTTTAATGTTTGAAGAGTTTTTGGTTTTTATATCATAAATCTTCAAAATCCATCATTTTCCCCCATTATTCACCATCAGCCTCAAAGACATGTTTTTTACCAGTCTTTTGAGAGCCTGATCTGTCAACAAGTAAAATTTCTAATGGTCTAGGAAATTAGTCTGATCGCTGTAAAATCACAATTACACATATGATCATTTGCAGCCTGAGATTTGAAGTGTTCTTTTTTTTAATGTGAGCCTTGAATGTTTTTAATGTGAAACACTGAAGCTTGAAACATGTCAACAAGTGAAGGGCAAAAAAAAAAAAAAAAAATTACACACATAGAGAATCTGCTAGATTAGTTTGGTTGTATCACGAAAATTTCAAAAAAAAAAGTGCTTTCACTTGGGTCACATAGAAAGCTCACTATTTTACTGGAAGTTCCTCTCATCCTGCATTTGACCCACATTTTGGGGAGAACTTTCCTACTAATTAACAGAGGGATACAAGTATATTAAAAGGGCTGCACCAGCACAATCTCAAGTCTGGATTTCCAGCAAGTCTTGAAGAATCAGGGCACACGATCCCATGGGAAGGTTTCCTAAAACAGAGGTGGGCAGGCTGTTACAGAACAGACAGATATTTTTTTGACCATGTTTTCCAGACAATAGCATCACCAGGAAATCCTGCTTATGAAACTGACCCAGGTCCTGATCGTGTGAAGGGCAGCATTTTCTATTTACTCCCAATGTTTTGTTTTAAATCTGCTTAGAAAAACACTGGAGGAAAAGGAAAGAAAGTGGTTATAGTCAAATTACCAGAAGTGACAGCTGCCCTAACAGCTATTGCATCTGTGGACCCTGTCTTCCCTTATGGTTTAAGCTGGGTCAATCAGAATAGTAATAAAATAATCATACCCAACCATTACACAAAGTCACAGAGTAAAACAATATTCTTAACAGCAATAATCGCACTCTGGGTGCCCCAACATGGATGGGGTGGGGAATAAAACATAACACTTTCAGAAGGACCAACCACAAAAACCACCCTGACCTTTTTTGTTGTTGTTTGTTTGTTTTGAGATGGAGTCTCGCTCTGTCACCCAGGATGGAGTGCAGTGGCGCGATCTCGGCTCACTGCAGCCTCCACCTCCCACGTTCAAGTGAGTCTCATGCCTCAGCCTCCCAAGTGGCTGGGACTAGAGGCGCATGCCACCAAGCCTGGCTTTTTTTTTTTTTTTTTTTGGTACTTTTAGTAGGAACCGGGTTTCACCATGTTGGCCAGACAGTTCTCGAACTCCTGACCTCAGGTGATCCACCCACCTCGGCCTCCCAAAGTGTTGAAATAACAGGCGTAAACCACCGCTGCCCGGTCCTGCCCTAATCATTTCTGAAAGCCTCTGGGTAAGGCACAATATCTCCCAAAAGGCACCGCTTTTGCAAAAGAAAAAACAACATATACATTTTGATTCTAAATTTACTCTTTAAACATTTCTCTAAATTCCACCTAGAAAAATGAGGTTATAACTAGAATATGAACCTATTAGTATGGCGAAGTATTTCTATCCATAGCATTGTCCTCTTCAGAGCTTAAAAAATAGGAATTTAATATCAGAGAAGCAGAAGGTGTATACTCTGTCCTGAAAACCAGTTTCTCACCACAAGTCAGTGCAATCCGGGCCCAGTCACGCTGCTGGATGAAAATGCTTTTATTAAGGTTTTCTATCATTTTCTGGTTTCTCAATGCAATAGGCACGTTTCAATCCATGAGTATTTGACCTCCCTAGAGTATTAACATGTTGATCACACCCTTATAGTAACTTCTTTTCCAGGGCTCCTAACATTTCTTCTCAGTCCTTTTGAAGATGAATTATTCTGATTTCACCTTAAATATGTGCATATCCTATAGTTCTGTTCTCTGTACCTTATTCTCTTCACATTACAACCTATATAATTTCTCCTGTAGAAACATACATGTCTGCATCTTCAACTTGGCAGTCTCCTACTTTCCAAAAAGATATCTCCATTTAAATTGTCCACATAATCTCCATTTGACATGTCTAAAATGACGCACTTATCAGTTCCACCCCAACACTAGCAGCCAGCTTCTTCTCCTTTATGCTATATATTGAGATAAAGGTACCACTATTCTTCATCCGCCTACCAACATTAGGAATCTAGAAACCAGTCAAGACTTCTACCTCCCCTTCACCTGCACACTCTGGTCTGGGATCAAGTCCTGCCAGGTACAGCTCCTCTGTATCTGTGGAAACCACCCCTCCTCCTTAACTCTATTTTCAGCATTTAGTTCTATACTTTATCTTACACAGATAAATGCAAACATTTCTGATGGGTCTGCCAAACTCTAGCCCAGTGGTTCTCAAAGTGTGTTCCTTGGACAAATGAGAACCACCATCACCTGGGAAGTTATCAAAAATCCAAGAAAAAGTTAGAGGGGAGTTTCAAGACGGCTGACTAGAGGCACCTGGTACCCACCTCCTCCACAAACAAGAACTGAAATAGTGAGTAGGTAATCACAGGTCAAACAGATCACATAAGAGAGAACACTGGAATTCAAAAACTAAGTGACAGGAAACATGGGAGGCGAAGAAGAAGAGGGAAATGGGGCAGTCTGCTCAGCCAGGACCAGCTGGGAGCCTAGAGAGGCTCTCGAATGCGATAAAGGTTCTCCAGGCTCCCTCACGTAGTAGTCAGTGACCCCAGCAGCCCACATTTCCACCACAGACTCCTGCAATCATAGCCACAGGAGAACCCCATGATCCGCACAGGCCCTGAGGCTAACACAGGGAGCCACCTGGAGACCAGGAAGCAGCACACCTCCAGAGAGGCAGTGCACTGAGTTCCACTCACCCGCTGTGTCATAAGCAGTTACAGGAAGGCACTATTTTGAAATGCCAGCCCCACCAGACTGCATCCTGCCCTGGGGCCCAATAGCCCCTGCATCGCCACATCCCTGAGGCTCCCCTGATATCCTCAACTGCAGCCAGGGCCAAAGCACAAGCCTTTGCCAATGACCCTGCTACCCCTAGTATAAAGGCCTTTGTGCATTTAAGAGCACCCTGAGGATGGGGTACCCCACTTGCGGCTGCCATATAGAGCCACAGCACATGCTCCCCCAGTCAGCTGTTTACAACTGTGGCCATGGTAACTCCACCCTCCCCAGCAGGGCCTCAGGGCCACCACGCAGTTGCTGCCACCCTCACCCAGCCATTCTGCCAGGGTGGGGTGTGGGGGACCTGGGGTCCATCTCTATCCTGCTTACCACAGCCAGCACCCACATGTACCACCTAGGGGCCAGAGAACAGGGCCACTTAACCAAGTTAAAACAGTTAAAACCCACCCACTCCCCCAGTGCCCAAGCACACCATCCAGAGGCTTGGGAATGGCCCTGCCCCATTCATGCCCACTGGCACCTGAGCACTCCTTCTGGGGGCCTGAGGACAAACCCGCCCATCCTACTGCAAACACCACAACTAGCACTCACCCACCCACACCATCCACTCACCCATGCCACCTGCAAGCCTTGAGACTGCCCCGCGTGGCCTGTCACAGCCACTGCCAATAGCAGTGCAAACCACTTGGGAGCCTAAGCGTTGTCTCATCACTGCTCCTGCTGCCCCCAGCACCATGCCCACTGCCTAGGAGCCCAAGGACCCTCCCAGCCACCCAGCCCACTTCTTCCACCGCTGGCACCCAAGCAAGCCACCTGGAGGTCCAATTGGCCTGACTGAACCTGCTAATATCAGGGCCAGCATACATGACCCTAGGACCAAAGCACAGGCGTGCCCAGCCTGCCACTGCCACCTCAAGCACCTGCCAATGATTGAGGACTGGCCCACCTAGCATCCTCATCCCCAGCAAAACTTACCACAACCTCCACTAACAACCACACCCTAAGCCACTGAGGAAATTACAAGCACTACTGATACTTACGGAAGAAAAAATCATACAGAGACTACACTGCTGTATTCACCCAGAATCAAAGGCAAAATGCTACATCAAACCAACACCACAGATACATCTTCAGGAAAAAGTCCTCCCCTATAAAAGTAAATTCAAAAAAGTTGGAATAAGTGACTGTTATACCAGATGCACAGATATCAATGTAAATATACAATAAACATAATAAAACAAGGAGATATTATACCTCCAAAGGAACATAATAATTCTCCAGCAATGAATTCGAATGAAAAAGACATTCATGAAGTTCCAGAAAAAGAATTCAAAATAATGATATTAAAGAATCTCAGTGATATACAAGACAACTCATATAAACAATACAAAGAAATTAGAAAACCAATTCAGGATATGAATGACAAATTTATCAAAAAGGTAGATCTCATGAAAAAGACCAAACAGAAATTCCGGGATGGAAGAATTCATTGAATAAAATACAAAACACATTCAAAAGCTTCAACAATAAACTAGATTAAGCAGAAGAAAGAATTTTATAACTTGAAGACAGGTCTTCTGAAATAACCTAGTCAGATAAAAGTAAAGAATAAAGAATAAAAAAGAATGAACAGGCCAGGCGTGGTGGCTCTCATCTGTAATCCCAGCACTTTGGGAGGCTGAAGCAAGTAGATAACGAGGTCAGGAGATTGAGATCATCCTGGCCAACACGGTGAAACCCCGTCTCTACTTAAAAAAAAAAAAATACAAAAATTAGCTGGGCCTGGTGGTGTATGCCTGTAATCCCAGCTATTCGGGAGGCTGAGGCAGGAGAATCGCTTGAACCAGGGAGTCAGAAATTGCAATGAGGCAAGATTGCATCACTGAACTCCAGCCTGGCAACAGAGTGAGACTCTGTCTCAAAAAAAAAAAAAGAGTGAACAAAGACTACATCACACATGGGA